CCCAATCATGCAGAACTGGTTCTAGCTGATCCCAGTCCGGTGTTGATCTACCAGATCTCCTCCAATGAGACTCGGGTTCTGGTGGATGTCAGAGGAGAGATGCCCCGAGACCTTAAGCAGTACATGTCAGAAAAAATCTACCCACAACTACCAGGTATCGGATGTAGTCTTTAAAAAACCCTCATTGCTAAAATGGGTACTTTTTACACTCATGGATTTCTAAAATACTTCTTATTTCAGTTGTATTTCTATATAGAGCACAACAACACAATTGAAACATTTACACAACAAAATGCTAACAAATTTGTATATTTTGCTTACACAGAGCATTTAAAGGAGCCGTTCATGGTGGCATTGCAGAATGATCGCTTGAGAACGATGCCAGCCAGCTTCCTGCCACCCTCACCAGTCAATAAACCAGGTAAGCCATAATGAATGACTCTATCTATATTGTATATCAACACACACACACTTCAAAAGTTTGGAATAATTACTTTTTTTTTTTTAAAGAAGTCTATTATGCTCACCAAGGATGCATTTTATATGATCAAAAATACAGTAATATCGTGAAATGTTATTACAATTTAAAATAGCTGTTTTCACTTGAAAATATTATCAAATGTAATTTATACCTGTGATGCAAAGTTGAATTTTCAGCAGCAATTACTCCAGTCTTCAGTGTCACACGTGTCATACTGAAATGCTGATTTGCTAAAAAACGGTTTCCACAAAAATATAAAAATGCAGCTTTGGTGAGCATTAAACTGGTAGTGTGTTTCATGAAAACCCTAAAATGTAGATGTTACATTAAACTGCGATAGGCCCGTCAAAAAAACTACACACACCTACATCACACAGTTAAAATAATCTTTAATTCAATTCAGCATAATTTTTGCATCCCTAAAATTTATGACCAAGTGCATATAGTGAAATTTTGCAGTTTAATGTGTAAAACTGTGTGTTGTTGCGAGTGATGACCCACCTGTCCTCCATTAGGGGTTCTGCTCTTAGGAGACGCGTATAACATGCGTCATCCTCTGACCGGTGGCGGGATGAGCGTTGTGCTGAATGACGTCCGCATCTGGAGAGACATGCTAAAGAACATCCCTGATCTCTATGACAATACAGCTGTGCTCCAGGTAACCGCTAACATCAGATCCCTTTCTGGTGCCAGTCATTGCTGCTTCTCACTGCAAATCATATCAAGACAAGAACGTTTAACATCAGCTTTGTTGCAAAACTTAGCGAGTTGACTACATACTGTAGGTAGCATTAGGTGTGCTCTAAGATAACTTCTTATTGATTAACCAAATTTACAATTTGACCTGATATGTGTGCCTTTTATGTATTGATGCTAATTAGATTACACTGTAAAAAAAAAACTATTTTCATAATTTATCACAGTTTTTTTTTCTTTTGTTAAATCAACTTAGATAATTGATGTGGTTCAGATAACATAATATATTTTGAGTGTCTGTTGATTAAATCTCATTGTATTGACTCAAATTTTTAAGGCAACCAGGTAACTTACTTTTTTAAGTTAAACCAACAATTTTTTTACAGTGTAGGCACAGCAATAAGTAAGTGTAATGCCTTTGTTGGCAGTAAATGGTAAGGCACCTCAGCAGGTTTTAGAACAAATGGTATTTGATAAATGCTTAAATGCAGTTGAGATCATGGTGGAACTGAGAAATGAGACTGTTTTTGTTGTCAGGCAAAGAAGAAATTCCACTGGGAGCGGAAATCATCTCACTCGTTTGTAGTGAACGTCTTGGCTCAAGCACTGTATGAGCTGTTTGCTGCGACCGACAGTAAGTGACGAAACCAAACACATTCTTAAATATAATTTTTTTGGTTTCACATTTTCAAAAATCAAAGTCTCCTTTTAAAGGTAATTCATTATCGCGTTACTCCCTACAAAAGTAACTTATGTTTTTGTGGAAAGTAATGTGTTGCGTTACTTTTTCTCACCTGACTGAGACTCGCTCTCTTCCAAGCCTTTTAGGCGTGTTTTTTTTTTTTATTGAAAAGCAACATGGCATACTGTAATATACACCTTATTTATCTATTAAAAACACATTTAGAATATTATAATATTTTAAGCATTTAGAATATTTCCTGACCTCTAGAGCTATGTATGACATACAAAAGATCTCTCAACATTACAGCTTATTGTGTACTTTTGGTCAATTCTGGCTCACATGTGATTACATTATGGAGAAGAGAGAGAATTTTAATGCAGCAGTTAACATTTTTTTAAGCAAAGTTTAAACTAAAAAGTAATGTGCATTACTTTGGAAAAAAAAGTAACTAAAATAATCATGTGTAAATTTATAAAGTAATCCATTGTTACATCAAAAAAGTAATCTGATTACGTAATCCAAGTTACTTGTAATACATGTAAAACTTGTTTATTTTCAGATTCACTGTATCAGTTGAGAAAAGCCTGTTTCCACTATTTCAAACTTGGCGGAGAATGTCTCAACGGACCGATCGGCCTTCTGTCAGTGTAAGTATTTACAAACAATCTGCCCCTGAAAACCAATCTTGACCACTAAACTGAAAACATCAGTGCGGTCCTCAAATCAGATCTCTTTCACTGGTTCTTGCATATACATTGTTGTCACACCACTAATCTGTCCCCCCCCCCCAGATTGTCACCGAGACCCTTGACTCTAATCGGTCACTTTTTCGCGGTGGCCCTGTACGCCATTTACTTCAGCTTCAGATCTGAATCCTGGCTCTCAATTCCACGAGCGCTGGTCAATAGTGGAGCCATCCTGTACAGAGCCTGTACCGTGATGTTTCCTCTCATTTACTCAGAGTTACAGTACCTGGTTTACTAGGAAGGAACTTTCAAACTGAAAAAGAAACTGAGTTTTAATTTCTCCTGCCATTGAACGCGACACATCTGTCACTGGTGGCTACATCCAAGTGCCTCATTTTCTTTGGGAAAAAAAAAAAGGGATTCGTGTCAGAAGACTGCAAAAGGAACAAGCCCCAGATGAGGAAATACTTTGCCTGTATTCACATGGTGTCTGATATTAATAGACTTATATTTTCATAATGATGTCGTGAAATTTGCCTTGACCCCTGCAATTAAATGAGGAAAAATCCTGTGCTTTATTTTAAAGTCAATATTGCTGAGTGCAAAATAATGATTAAACCACTAGGCTACTTGACTTTTAAAACTGTGTAAATGTTTTAATTGTTTTCAAAATACTAAAGACAATCAATGGGACTGCATCTCATTTGTAGTTAAAGCACCCGTTTTCCACGGTTCGGTGCTTTTTTGCAGTTTCAGATTTTTTCGAAATTGTGCACGTCTTGATTTTCACATGGGACTTTCATTTTCATTTTTGCCTTTCTCTGTTGTTTAAAAAGTTTTCAGGTCAACATTTAGTGCTGTCAATCTCTTTTAATTTGCAATGAATATGGCATTCTATTCAAAGTAAAATCATGTGTATATTTTCTGAAAGAGGACAAGAGCTTTAATGTGAAGATTGAATTAGTTTCTAATGTGAACTAATTCAACCATGCGTGTGTGGTTATGATGGTTTCACATTTGTGTTCATTATTATTCTGGCTTTGTGTATGTAGCCACTCGACCGTTCTTCAATATAATTTACCCTCTTTGTATATATTTCTTTTGTTGTTATATTTGGAGTCAAATATAGTTTGAAATATTATAAGACTGGAATACCCAGAGACATTTGTGAACCTGTTTTAAAGGCTTTGCATTTTTAATATCTCTCATTCTTTTATAATTGGATGGAGGTTTGTGGTTTAAAAATTACCATAGCAACATTTTGTGCAATTTACAATATATCCACCAGGTGGCGCTCGTGCACCAGCAGGATGAAAATAACGTCACTCTGACCCTGTAAGCAAAATAAAAGATAAAAAAAACAAAAACATACAGACTACAGCCGTACATACAGTATATATTCAGAGTTGTCAATAAGCCCCAGGCAGAAGCATTTACACTTTCATCACACAGCATCACAGGCCCTGCTGTCATAGTAGTCAGTAGACACCTGCTCAACATCACGAGTTTGTCATTAGTGTGAACGAAGATGAATATATTTACTGAAACAGCAGCAGACTAGATATAAACAAAGCACAGCCAGAACTCCCACCTCAGCAGCTTCAAATATCTCCTTTCCTACAAGCACTGACACCCTTTTGACGCCTGTCAATCACCCTGTCATTGTACCTCATAATCAAAACGCTACTTATATCAAGTTTTGTGACGTCGTTTGATTTGAATTCTCGTCGCATTTAGTTTGTGCGGTTCAAAATGTGGCCATTAATTTCGCTATTACCATCTGAAAGCTTTATGGAGCTGCTGTCAAAGTGGTAATAAAAACAGCAACAAGAGCAAACAAAAATCAACAACCGTGTTGTGGCGGTCACACGTAATCATCATCATCCTTATTATAATTAGCACATTATAATATAATCTTGGTCTTACAAGTCTCAGTATTTTTTTTAAAAACAAACAAATTTAAATAACAATCTACGAAGAAATATTTTTTTGCTGACGTCATCCGCATACTTTTTTCAGCCCCTCCCCTTAAACCACCATCCACACATTACTGATGGATGAAATTGTTTTTTCTCCCCGACGAATAAGCTGTTTCACGAAGAAATACGACAATTACAAGTGAAATAGTATTTCATGTTGACAGACTTCCCTTCTGAACCAAATTAAGCAGATTTATGGCTGTATGAACCATGAATTTTCCCCATTACACAAAAATGCTGTGGTGATACTATTGTAAAGATATAGTTTTGGATGATAATATCATGGTGCTTTGACATACACCACAGACCTGAATGATTAGCATATTCATATAACATGGCATTAGCACGGAATTACTTTCCAAAACACTATGGAATTCGAATCAGCATTAAAAAAAAAAATCATGTAATTGCTTATTCAGTGTTGAAGGAGCTCAAAGAAAGACCAAAGAAAATAAAAACCATAAAAGACCTGATTCTGTCCCAGGTTACAACAATTTATTAGTATTCATTGTTCTTTATACATCACTGTAACATTATATTCCGGTGAAGTAGATGAAGGATTTGTTTGCACTTCTTTGCACTTTGAAAGGACGTTTGTGCTCCTCTCGATGTGTGCACGGTCAATCTAGACACCGAAAAAAAGAAAGAAAAAAAACCTGACAAAAACCAAACCAAAAAACTCCGGGACAGGACACGTGAGAAGAAGAGAGTCCGTCAGATTCGACCCTGTGCTCGACCGCTGAGACGCCCATCCGGGGCTTTTCCTCTCCACAGTAGCAGCAAGCTCTTTATAAACGATTCATTTACTCTATGATCTAAAAGACAAAGAAAAATATATACTGTACTGCTACTGCTAATGAGGCCTGAAGAACCTGGCTTGAAACTAGATTAATAAAGTGCGAGAAGCAACCCACCAATCCACACACTGTATATTCATTTATATATATATATATATATATTTATATATAGGAACAAATCTACTATTTTAACATTAATTTACAGGGTAATATACATTATATTAGTAACAGCTGAGATATCAGCACAAAAAAGATCACTGTCACACTTAACAGCAATATATATATATCATTATATATATATATATATATATATATATATTTATGTATATATATATATATAATCATATACATAAATATAGAATTGTCATTATATTCATGAAAAACAATTAAACCACGTCTCAGGCTTTTCAAATGATACCCAGAAAAGCAATTAATCCGTCAAGACGTAAAAGGTCTCTTAGAAAGAGAAACAGGGAAAACAAAAGTGCCCCGTTTGGATTATTTGAGGTCACATGACAGGAATTTGCATATTCCACAAATCTATTGCGACACATTTCTGCCTACGAACAGTAAAAGTCGGCCCTTCCGAAGCGGAGGGGTCGGTGTTAGCCACACTCACACGTAAAACCCACTGAACAGAACATTACGACTATGGGGTTTCCGATTATGTGCTTCGACATAGTGTGCTATGATAGTGAACAACAGAAAGACTACGAGTTTCACGACACTTGAATATTTCGCCTCAAAAGAAACTACGGATCTGTTCTCGTCTTCTCGTGGACGCCACCGCGATCCAAAAAAATGCATATTCTTCCTCTGAGAGCAAGAGAATGTGTTTTCAGTTGTTTGCTTTTCTTTTTCCGTAGTTGTTTCCCCCCCCCCCCCCCCATCGATCCCCGTGTTGCAGTAGTGACATCCTATCGGCTAACATCATCTTTTGAACGTTCTCCTGCCGCTTCAGCTCAGGTAAATTGGACTGTGGCAGTTCTCGGGCAGCCCAAACCCGTGCCGCCACCACCATCGTTTTCATCGTCATCTCCACTCAATGTTAAAGGTGCTCACGGGGGTCCCTTGTTACATCCTCCCGTTCGTTATTGACACTGCACACGGCTTGAACAAAACACATATACTAAACAGCACAAAGAAGAGCTCTGTATTAAATGCAGGAGTAACATACGACAAGCGCGGTAACAGTAGCGTCCGTTACGGGCTTCCTGGGAGCCGCGGTGATGTGCAGTAAGGTTTGGGATCTGCCTGGTGTCCAATTCCTCTTTCCAACTAACAACACAAAGGTACCTCCCTGTATGCTGCTACTCGAACGACCAGATCTCAATATCCTGCACGAAGAAATCCTCCTTCATGGAGAGCATGGGATTCCCGAAGGTTTTGCATGAATGACTCCTGCCGTGATAAAGATCCCCGTCCAACCAAAGCCCGAACTCACCACTGAAAGAGAAGAAAACATTCTCAAATAAAACCTTCATGTAAATGGACATGGAGGGAATCATTTTAAAAATAAAAATAAAGGACTGTACAAAAAACATACTCTACACGAGTACATGGACAAGTCCTTCTAGCTACGCAAGCTCATTTTCATCTGTCGTTGCCTTTCGAAATGTCATGATGCAAATGATAACCACTGCTGAAAAGTTTAAGGTCAGTAAGATTTTTGTTTCTTTTTAACACTTTAAACAGCAAGGATCCATTAAAGTGAACAAAAGTGAGAGTAAAATAAAATGAAATTTACACTGAAAGATTTTTTTTAATTCAAATAAATGCTGTTTATTAACGCTCTATTCATAAAAATAAGATACTTCTTTCAAAAACATAAAAAATCTTATCAATAATGTAAACGGTAATGTAAGAATGAATTGCATTCTCAAAAGTTTCTAAGTGCGCCGCATTAGCATAAACTATCACCTACTACGACCAGTTTCAAATTAATTAGCGAGTTAGCAACTTACAGTTAGCTATCTGAAAAATAACCGATCTGCACAGACATTCGAAACAAACTATCTAACCCTTACTGAGATTTGTAGTTAAAACTGGCATGTTTAGTTTGTGCAACGAGACAACAAGCTTGCAATGTGCTGGCCAAACGTTCATGTTTACATTTGCATTCACATTTTTTTGGTCTTACACAAACATCTCTAACGAAAATCAGTATTCAAAATATTAAAAGTGCCCTGAGTTGCTGACCTTCCTCCACCAAAGGCTAAAGAGTCCATGTCTCCTTTAATGAAGAACAGATTATCACCAGTCCATTTGTACGCCTGCCAGTGAGAGAAACAGCATTTAGAACAAGAAAACACAATTGGTCCCTCTTGTTCAGTTTAGTCAGTGTTTAAATCCTGCAATGAAGTCTTTGATTATGAAATTGCCAAATGACAATGCCAAAATTAATCAGAATTAATTTCAAACTGACAGCTTATTCTGATGAAAATGAATGAATAAACTGAGCACACAAACCTCAAACTCTGGATAGAAGGTGAACAGGAAAGTCTCTCCTGTGCCGTAGAAACCCTCGCTGACTTTGAAGGGTTGGGAGGCCAAAGCCCCAAACATCTAACAAGAGCACAGAGGCTAGATTAGATTAGGAAACCACTGAACCAAAATCTTTCCGTTGCTTCTGGTCACATGACATACGAGAACCAATGGCTTTGGAGTTTTTGTAATATTGTGCTAAGGTCTGAGACTGCCACTTGTGAGAGATAAGAGAGAAGAGTCTGACCTGTCCGTCACTGTCTCTGATAACCATTAGCATGGGCGATTCCTGATCCTGCATCGTCCGGTACAGTGTTTTAATGCTCATGCCATGTTTAGATGTGCTGAAGGTCAGATTCCAGTGGTAACCGATGGTTCTGGGTGGGAGATGTTTCGCCAACTGCATGACAAAACAGGAAATAAGATAATGCATGGTTAGGTGTGCATTAAACTAGTTTAATAAATGACATGGAGGCAAAGAACCACTGCTGACCAGGGTTATTTTTGTTAACTAAAACTATTTCAAACTTTTTTGAAATAAAGCTGAAATAAAGTAAAAAATAAATACAAGATGGAAAAACTTCAGCTAAATGATTTTTTTTTAATGTTGCTTAGGCAACTCATTGATATTTGATAAGATGAAGGACTAAATTTACTAACTGAAAAAAAAAGAAAAAAAAAACTAACACTAAAATAAAAATAAATTAAACCTAAATAAGTAATATAAAAATACTAACAAAAATGACCAAATTTGATTTAAAATGTAAAATACAAAGCCAATTCCAAACATTAATAAAAACAATAAGAGTTTATAAATAATAATAAAATAATACTGGACACCAAGCTGTGAATGATTCCGTTTACACGTGGTCACTTGCCAACATGGACAAGTGAAAGCATTGATGTCTGCAGAATTTGACAATGGATAGAAATACTGATTTATTTTTTGTTTAGTAAAGTTTGTTTCTACAGGTAATTGGATCTAGAAGATTAAAATAAAGGAGCATGGTAAGATTATATTTATTTGAATAAATAATGAGAATGTTTAGTTACTTCAAAAACAGCAACACTACCCACTTTTTTTGCGTTTCAGTAGCGAAGCTATTTTACTGATAAAAGTCACGGGGCAGCACTGACAACATGTTTCTGTGCTCCTGAATGTTCCTGTTCTTTTTTAAATAGTTTCTTCTGTAATCTGTATGTAAAAATAAAATGATAAAAAAAGAAAAGGTGTAGAACGAAAAAAAAAAAGAAACGTGCAGGATCAAAGCAGAACCTGTGAAACATTACCAGCCCAATTACAGTAGCACTGACCTTTTCACACCAGTAGACACAGAGAAGCTGAACACCATATTATATAAAAAACATATAGAGTCAGATGAAACAAAAAGAGCTTTTTGGCAGCAAACACTTAATATGGGTTTGGTTTATACTGGAATAAAAAGTACCCCATGTGTAAAATGAAATACTCTGCTGTATCTTTAATGCTGTGGGCCTAATTTTCTGCCAGAGGTCCTGGACATCTTGTTCAAATTACATGGCATCAAGAATTCGATCAAATACCAACAGATAAAAAATCTAAACCTGACAACCTCTGCTAGAAATCTTATAATGGGCCATGTTTGGATCTTCCAACAGGACAGTGATCCGAAAACAAACATCAAAATCAAAGCAAAAATGGGTCACTGAGCACAAAACCAAGCATCTGCATTATGGCCATCCCAGTCCCTGACCTGAACCCTATAGAAAATGAGTGTGTTGAACTGAAGAGAAGAACATGGATCTGGGAATCTGAAGGATCTGGAGAGATTCTGTATGGAGGAATGGTCTCTGGTCTCTTGTCAGGTGTTCTCCAAACTCACCAGGCATTATAGAGGAAGATTCAGAGCTGTTATCTTGGAAAACTGAGGTTGCAAAAAGTATTTAATAAAAGGGGGCAACTAATTGTTCATTCTTTTACTTTCAATAAAAGGTTAGATTTTTGTATTTTTTTTAAAATTAAATATCAAAAGGATAAACAATGCAGATTTATTTTTTTACAGCTATCTTTGATCATATTTACCAAGGGGGCAAATAATTCTGACCAGCACTGTATATACAGTATATAGACACACATATATGGTGGGCGCCTGGGTGGCAGGTGTTTCCTCAACACAAGTTTGTGTCCAGGTCTCTGTGTCCTCCGGCGGCTCCAGGCTTTCCCAGCGCTTGGAGAGCATTGAATTACTCTGCGTATTGACACAAGTTTATTTGATTTACCAACAAAATGGTCTACGTCTGAATAATGGGGTCTGTGAGATGCCACCTCAGGTGATCCATTCACAGAGCGCTGATGCATTTGAAAGTCGGGCAGCCGCAGGGCGCAATGACTTAAACCTCATAACAGCACAAAACCGCTGAAGCTTCACAACAAAACACATTGTAAATGGCACAGTGAGATTGGATCAAAAGATCAGGCCGTCATGTACGAATATTACCCAAATGTCCCTGACAACTTCAACATTTATTAAACAACAGTCAAAAAGTGTCTGAACACAATCATGCTTTATTTCTGGAAGAAAGTTGAACAAAACATGATTGTTGTAATGGGAATAAAAAATGACTTAAATTTTGTTCTGTTTCAGTGTTATTTTTTAACTATTAAAAGTAGTAATTTATACTATTAAAGTATTTATTCATATTTTGAAACAGCTTTTATTTTTATATTTTAATTTTTGTTTAAAGTTTAGTAAATTTGTTATGTGCTACTGTCATTTTTTTTTATTATAAATATTTCTATATATCTTTAATTTATTTAAAATTAAACTCTTATTTTAGTAAGTTGCCAAAGGAATATCTCATACGTATGACTTCAGAAAACAAGTCATATGCATAAGGATGGGATCATTTTCTGAACTCACTCAACAATTCCTTGTTGAATGATTCATTTAAAAAGAACCAACTCAAATAATTTGTTTATGAATCAGACTACACTGTATGCTTCTTTGCATGCATCCAGCAAAAGCAAAGCAATAGAAACACATGCAGACAGACATTATTTTGTGCCAGCCGTTCTATCTCATCACATTCAATTTTGACGACAGCAAGCAAGAAAAAAATATTTATTTTGGCACTGTAGCGGCATTAATCTTAAATAATATTTTAAAACAGAATTTTGTCCACATCCGTGGAAGAATACAGATTATGCTGTCCTAGTATTTTTTTTTAAAAGACCATTTTATGGTGAACCAGTAGTATTATGGACTAGTAATATGTATTCTTTTTAATGGTGTTTTTATTTTCATTCAGTCAGAATTTTTTTTAATCTTTAGGGGTATTACAGCTTAGATTCGCTGTAAAGATACGCACTTTGTACCTCATCTACCCCTTAAGTCCAATTTACAGCGCACCAACAGACGGCAACAGATACTTTGTCGGATTTATCGGATAAGTGTGTTACCCCTGTCGGAGTCTGTTGGAGCTTGTTTTCACCGATTGAACATGGTGAATCAGAATTAGAATATCTGAGAAGTGACATCATGGCATGCTGTAATCTGGTGACTGTCTGCATTGGTCTAATATTAGTATTAGTAGTTTTTCTTAAATGGAAAAGAGTAAGCATGAACATTCTGCTATTTTTTTTTTTCCTATTCCATGAAAGAAAGAAAATCATATAGGTTTTAATAACAAGAGGGTGAGTAATAATTTTTGGCTCAAGAACCATCTCCTTCATTTAACCAATCGTTCTTATGCCCTTGGCCATAACATGACAAGTGAATAAATCTGTCTGTTAACCTGTCTGAGACCATCCTCCGCTCGAGGATCAATAACCGGTGAACAGCAGGGAGGGACGTCTATTTTTGGACCGGTGGATCGATAAAAAACTGTAAAGCAGCTCTTTCACTGCAGCGCCACTGTGCGCTTACCTTCTCAATCTGCTCAGCATCCAGAAGGTCACTGGGTTCGTTCAGGTTGGGCTTGAAAGTCTCCGGCTCCAGACTGGCGGAGATGGACGACGTGCCATGTGTGGAGTTCACGTCCTCTTTTGTGGTGATCTAAAGACAGAAGACACCATTAGCAAACCGTCTAGTGCTTTATGCCACATAAATCTGAGATTATAATAAGGCATGACTCTAGATCTTCCCTTAAATTTACCCTCGCAGTAGGGATTTGGTATTCAAAACATTTGTGGAAGTAAAGCTGCATAGAATTAACATGCAAATTCAACCTGAGCAGGAGTTGAGTTGACTATCTATGGTGGAATTAACCTAAGGGGACACACTAACCTGAGACAACAAATCTAATCTCACTGGAAAGGTTTTGGCGAGGCAATATGGGATCTGGTTTTCATATAAAAGATTTGTTGTGCATTATTTCCTCAAAGTCAGTGGTTCTCAACCAGTGGAAATGGTCAATTTCTTTATTCAGCCTGTTATTATAATAATTAGGCATACTGTTGTGCCTATGCAGCTGAGCATAAGGATTCCTGAAGCTCAAACAGAATGCATGGTGCTAGCAACGCAGAGGTCATGGGTTCGATTCCCAGGAAACACATGAACTGATCAAATGTATACTTTAAATTCAAGTACAATTTACTTCACTTTTATAAGAAACGTGTGTACTGCGTTGGATCACCACTTGATATTCAATATAAAATCTGGTTCCTGAGGAATAACCAGGTGAAAAGCACTGCTCTAAAGTCTGCGACTAGTGGTGTTATTTTACAATAGTGTCACAGACAGTTAACATTCCCTCTAGTGGCCTGAACACACTCACGTTACGCCAACCGTGCTTCAATTACATCAATTGTTTACAACAAATGATCGAGCAGCAGTCAGGGCAGGTCTCGACCCAAACACCTGTCTGAACCTCAGAACATGGACATACAATCCACTTTCCCTAGCACAGCTTCCAGAAAATTCTTCATTTCAATCAGTTTGTGTGTTCTAAGGGGATGCAACTGCTTGGTATCTCCAAAAATGGAATGTAGCAGATCAGCAATGACATAAAGCTGCTAATTTACACTTCTAATAATTAGCCTAGATAATTCCAAATAATTCAAATTTGTATTTAATTTGTGGGTTCTAAAGGAGACAACTTCCACTAAAAATATTTTTGAAATTTTGCAGGGACATGAAGTTCTAATTTGTGCATTGAAAAAAATCACTTAAAGGGATAGTTCGGCCAAAAATGATATTTAACACATGCATTACTCACCCTCAAGCCGTTCGAGATGCATATGTCAATCTTGTTTCAGACGAACACATTTTCAGTTATTTTAGAAAATGTCTTAGACCCTTCAGTGGATATAATGTGAAGCAATGGGGTCCACCTCCTTCAAGTCCCAAAATGTGCATATATCCTTCACAGAAGTAATCCATCCGGCTCCAGGGGGATAAACGAAGGCCTTGTGAGGGTAATCCGTGCGGTTTTGTCGTAAAAATATACATATTTAAAACTTTATAAATGAAAATATCTGACTTCCGGCAACGATCGACGCGCGTCCACGGGTGATGGAAGTCGGCGTACGAGGTATGACGTAGCGTAGGAACCGTCGTGACGTAGAACGAACGCGCCTGCGCAGCCAGAGAGCAGAGCAAAACATCACCCGTGAACGCGCGTCGATCGTTGCCGGAAGTCAGATATTTTCATTTATAAAGTTTTAAATATGTATATTTTTACGACAAAACCGCACGGATTACCCTCATAAGGCCTTCGTTTATCCCCCCGGAGCCGGATGGATTACTTCTGTGAAGGATATATGCACATTTTGGGACTTGAAGGAGTTGGACCCCATTGCTTCACATTATATCCACTGAAGGGTCTAAGACATTTTCTAAAATAACTGAAAATGTGTTCGTCTGAAACAAGATTTACATATGCATCTCGAACAGCTTGAGGGTGAGTAATGCATGGTTTAAATATCATTTTTGGCCGAACTATCCCTTTAAAGTACTTTGGGATAGAAAAAAACATTTCAGGAAATTATGGACTTTTCTGCACAAACATTGTTTTGGTCACAGGCTCAAACTGGCCATCCACAGCAAGGCAAGTACAATCTACAAAACCTAGAACTACATCTGCAGGGTTCTACTGATTTTGTGCACCTGGAGGCGTTTGCATAGGGAGCGCAGATCTTCACTGTTTAACGCATCGATCCGGCAGTGGTACTCAGTCCATGAGACTACCTGCTCCAGAGACGGGGACACAACCACACCGCTGAGCAGGACAACAGGATGAGGCCAAAATATGGACAAGAATGTGCAGATTGGAACTCTTTTAATACAAGATGTTAACTACTAAAGTTTGAAAACTGCGGTCAGGAATGATCGTCTTTATGGTATATGGAAGAGATGAGTGTAAGATTGAAAGTCTAGATCATGTCTACGTTAAACTACAGCACAAATGTGAGCAGACAACACAGAGAGTGTTTTGCATGATTGTGTGAACTGTTTTGCAAGAAGCTCTGCGGTGCAGACAGATATGAAAATCATATTCATAACAGCTAACATAAGCCATAGCAGAGCCACATAGAAATAACAAACACCCAATGTCCCCACTGAAACTAAATATTCTGTCATTATTTTACTCAGCCTCATTCTTAAACTCAAATGTTGCCATACTTGATTAGAAAGCTCTAAAATTACACAGCTTGTTCTATAGACCATACCACTTGAATAAAGACTTGCACCTCTAAGCAAGAATGCTGACCTTGAAATTTTACGGCATGTGTTATCTTCAGTAAATGTCAAATCTGACCTGTCACATAATTTAACAGCTTGTTGGTTGCCACACCTATTAACTATGTGACACATTCAATAACACATACAACATGAAAGAATAGTTCACCAGAAGCAAGGTTAAACCTTTGTCATTTACCACTGCCCAGGTCATACCAAACCAGAAAGGTTATTTCTGAGGAATACCCTAATTCAGTATTATGAAAGTGAATGGGGACTGGGGCTGTCAAGCTCAAAAAAAAAAACAAAAAAAAAAAGGCAATACATGTTTTATAAAAGTAGTCCATGAATTAAATAGAAAACAATACAAAAGTCTTCTGAAGCCATACTTTTACCGTAATTAATTTAAGTAGTTAACTGGAACATCAAATTATTGAGTTGAAATAGTGCACAAATTAGACTAATCAGGTTTTTGTTTTGTGAACTCAACTGGAACAACCGATTCATTGAAAAGATCCGACTCACAAGAACGATTCACTAGACCAGTGGTTCCCAAACTTTTTAGAGCGGTGTATTTAACATCCTTCTGCGTACCCCCTCTCTTCGACTAACTTAATTATTAATATAATAAATAAAGCAATAAATTAAACTAAATTAATAATTTCATTCAAATTAAACCATCAACAAAAGTCATCTTTGCACTGCACTGTGGCACAAGCTGACAGTGACTAGATGTATTAACACTGTTTAATCCTGCTCAGAGGTGGATTGAATGTAATTACAATGGCATAAATAATGTTATGAGATGTTTTAAATAAAAAATGTTCAATAGAGAAATATGAAATGATGGTAAAAATGAAGTGATGCTTTTAAATATTAAACTAAAATCGCCAGGAGGTGGCGGCAAGTCCCCGTCTTAATGATTAAGTCATTGAGTCAATCGTTCATTCAGTAACTAAGAAGGTGGCTGTATTTATGAATGGGTCATTGAATCATTGACTTTCCATATTTGTTCAAAGCTGCAGATTCGTTAACTAACGAAACACCATTGTGTGCTGCTTGAAGACCCAAGTTTCTCTGAGGCTTTCGATGGAACTATTATTTTGTTGCAAAATAAAGCAAACAAATGCTGCATCCTTCGAAGGGCACACAGCTGCGCGATGAAGGCTGTCCCAATTCAAAGGCTCCTTCCAATGCGCCCTCCGTTTCCCGTGAAATGAAGGATACAACAGATGGATCCTTTGCTGCCTTGCCTACCCCAGAATTCATTGCATGCCAGTGACGACAGGATTTATTTGAGAGAAATTGACGAATTACACTTTTAATTATTAAGTATTGCTAACGCATACAGAAGCTCAACCGAACATGAATGACGCGCAAGAACAAACCTCTTCCGTTAGCTCAAATGTGCTGCGTAACCAACGAGGTTCATTCTTTTGTGTTACATAGCTGTTACGCAGTACTTTGATCTTCAATCAATCGAGTCTCTTCAGAAAATTTTGACTAAATCACTCATTTCAAATGGACAGAAAGCTCTCAGATTTTATCAAAAAGATCTTCATTTGTGTTCCGAAGATGAACGAAAGTTATACGGGTTTGGAACAACATGAGGGTGAGTAATTAATGACAGCATTTTTTATTTTTGGGTGAACTATCCCTTTAAAGTCCAGTCCCTATTCACCTTCCTTATATAGAAAAGAGCAACGAGGTCGTTCACTTTAAATTCCTCTTTCGTGTTTCAAGGACGTCGTCATACTGGTTTGGAATGTGGAATGTCTTGACGGAGAGTAAATTACAGTTTTTTTATTTTGGTGAACTATCCCTTTAAAGTCCTGCAACACGCTGACTTGCAGTGATAATCGACAGTAAAAGAGAAATGATCAAGCCAGCAGTCATTCTACTCCAAGACGGTAAATAAAAGTTTTAGCCGATAAGTTGCCACTTTACAACCCTCAATAATGTACAAGGAGGAAGGTAAACTAGAGCATTCATAAAAAATGCATCTCGTCTCAGGTGAGACATCCACTGATTCTCTCTCTCTCTCTCTCTCACACACACACACACACACACAAACAAGCTCCAGCATCACAGATGAAAGAGCGGTAACAGCAGCAGACTATCACATCTCACTTGTATACTGTTTGACTTTAAAAGCAGCAACACAAACCAATGAAGACAGCCCGCGTCAATCAACTCAGCCATTCATTATCATATAACGTTACGCTAATAATTCAACAGACCGCTCACACATTACTCTTCAGTAAACGCATTCACACAACACACTTGTGTTTACATACATAAGTGTACTTCGGAGTCAGTGGTTTTCCTTCCATCACCCGCTTAGCGAACACGGTATCACTATCTGTCACATTCAGCCTTCCTTCGGCCGACGGACAACTTGCCATATTCAGACATAAACACAACGACAAGATAATGACGGACACCTCTGGGAGCCAATGATATCGCACGAAACGACCCAACTCGCTCTCTGATTGGCTCTGGTAAAATACGTTCCGCCTCGTGTACGGAAGACTTTAGTGCTTTTTTAAAGGGACGATCGCACCTCCCTAAACGTGACCTCTATTAAAAATAAAATAAAAAATAATAATGCTTGAGAAGAGTAAAATGATTAATGATATACAACGGAGGGATCCAAACGGACACTATGGAAAACATTTAGGCTGTCGATGAGGACTCGTTCAGAGTTAAATACACACGTTCTGTATCTATAAACATGCCTGTATTTAGTCCCCTTATCGTTAAACCAATAAACTGCTTTTTGAGCAGAATAACTGCAACACTCTGGCCATGTTTCAAATGTCACTTACCATGAACACTAAATAACCTAATGAGTTGCCACCAACATAGAAAGCATTTTTTGAGCATGATGCCCACAATGATGGACTGTTCACTATGTTTTGACTAACAACAAAGCAGCAAAATGGAGGCAATATAATACAAGATGTCTGATATTGTTTAATACTCATAGTAAATACATTTATTTAGTAGGCCTACATGCTTTAACCTAAATCTTAACTGAGAGTAACCGAGGAAATTGTAAAATGTAAATTGTTTTACTACTTAACATGCATAAGAAACATGCACGTGTGCCAAAGATTATAATATTTATTTACACTGACTTCTCATGTCATATGTACTATTTCTCAGAGTATTACAACCGCCCGCAGCAAATTTAACACTTAGGGTGCACTTTAGGGTGCAATATAAGGTCCTTTTAATGGTTTTTAAAGGCCTTCATGGGCTTGCCCCCGTGTACATTTCGGGTCTTTTACAGCAGCATTGTGCCGCTAGACCATATTAAGGTCTTCTCAAAGTTTGCTTTTGATGGTTCCAAAATCTCGGTTGAAAACCAAGGGAGATCGATCCTTTGCGGTGGCGGCACCGAAGCTGTGGAACAGTCTTCCTGTTTATATTAAATCCTTTTGTTTTAAATCTATGTTGAAGACTTATCTATTCTCCATTGCTTTTAACTGTTCTTAGGCATTTGTGGTGTTGAGTGTTTTGTTGTGCTCTTTGATGTTTGTGTAAATTTGTGTTGAAATGTGAGTTTGTAAAGCACTTTGGTCAACTCATGTTGTTTTTAAATGTGCTTTAGAAATAAATTATTGATTGATTGATTAAAAATGATACTAATCCACTCGCTATTTATCAAATCAAGAGTGCACCTCAAAGTAATAATATAACTACTTTCTTGAATATTTGTACTTGTATTTATTTGATTCTAATTCTTTTAGCTGTAAGGAATAATGTTTAAAGCAAATCATGACTAATAGTCAAAGTGCTGGTAATTTTCATGCAGCAAATATATACAGTATATTGTATTATGTATATTATCACATCAGCATAACAAATTGAGTTGGAAAAAGCTGGAAAGTATGCCTCTCTTTTTGCTTTAATGACAACAGCACTTGAGCAGACATAGATTCCACAAGTACTAGCAAAACCTGATGATCCATGTTATCCCAGATTGATCTAAGTGCATCATCTGGAAACAATGTACATTATATATTTGAATGCCCCCAACTTGCTAACGTTTAACTGCTGAACAATGTTTAAATGAACAGACATCACAATTTTAGACTGCAGAGGAAAATACGGGCCATCCAAAATTTCTCACAAAAAAACAACTGCACTTAAGTGTCATTACTCTAGGTAGTTAAATGTTACAACTGACCCCTGAGTATCCCGTCACAATATACGGTTGAGTTCATGACTCACGCCACGCCACCCCTGTGGCCATGATCAGAGAAAGTAAATTTTATTTATTCATATCAAAAGATCATGTGGCTTTGCAAAGATCCTCCAGTTCTAGAATAACAAATCAGTCTATTTTGTTCCCTACATCATTAATTTAAAGTCAAATTTAAATGCTGTCGTGGTCATAGTATCGGTTTCTCAGTGCCACAGATTAGTTTCAATACGGCAACCGGAACACAATAACATGCAGGGAAATCTCAGGCGGTAATGTTTCAATCAGTAAAACATCCAAACTGAGCTGGACCACCACACCACGCATTATACACGAGGAAACAACACTTGCACCTGTAGGCATGATTTTCTTGTATCTCATTCTAGTCGGGTTAAACCATGCCTTTTAATCATGACTGAGGGATTCATGCATGCATAAACTGAATACATGTTCCTCTTTCTTGAAAAATAAAATAAAACAATAATAATAAAACAATTGCACACTCATGCAAAACACTAGCTGCAAGCTCACAGTGAACAATGCATCTTGGTTTCACAAGAAACTTATCGACCAAGGGCAAAACAACCCAGTCTGTGAAACATTCAGCAAGATTGAAAACAGGAGCTCTGACAACAAAGTATGACTGGTGCATGAAGGTGTATTAAGTGCGGGGAACACAATAAAGACACTTCCAGACACCTGGAACATAGAAACAAACAATAAAGGCACAAAGACAGGTGCAAATACAATAAAGAGAAAATATCTGAATCAAATATAGTGCATATCAACATAGAGAATACAGACATGGGCATAAATCACAGATATAATATCAATCCAAACATTGGAGCTGGACGGGCCATACCTCCCACTCCTTGGTTGAACTTTCTACAGTTTGCTGCTCCTCGTTTGCCTCGGACTCCTCGATTTTCTTAACCACGATGAAGCCAGGATCACGGCTGATGATTCCTAGCCCATCCCCAAAAACGTCAGGGCTCCACTGGATGAAGAAAACGTACAGGTGGTCTGACCTAGAGAAACAACAGCAAATACATTGTTAAAAATGATACTACATGTCATCTATTAATTGTATACGAGTCATAAATCTGATGAATTTTTTCTGCCCTGATTTTTTCTGCCCTGAATTCTGTGGAATGGATTTAGACGTTATTAAACATGTTAAAGGTGCAGTAAGTGATTACTGAGAAACGCTGTTGATATTTGAAATCGGCACCCAAACAAACACACCGCTCCCAAAATAACAACACGCTATGGAACACTGGCAACGACCAGGTATGGATAAATCAGCTGTGATTCAACAACATACCTTGCATTTCTTGGTTCTGTGAAAAACAGCAGAAACAAAGCAAGTTCTGTGTCTGTTTTCATGTCTCTCCAGCACTGGAAAGCTTTTCCAATATTAACAAGGGTCCTATTGCCTGATCATAACCCTTCTTCCAATTATATTTCCAATTATAGGTTGGCACACCTGACAACCAGGCGCGCGGCACAGGCACGGCACAGGCACAGTGGTTGGAAAACACTGATCAAAAAATCTATTCACAAAATTAATTGTTTAGGTGCTGATTTACATTTTCAACAGCGGATTTCTCGGAAATAACTTGGTGCACTTTTAAACTACATTCTTACTGGTAGGATACAGAATAATCAAAATATTGAAATGTGTTCCACTTTTATTTATTAGGGAGTTTTGGGACAAAAATATGTTTTTACAAGATATTCTGGATGGGTAGAAAATAGTGGACATACTGTGAAACTTTATTTCACCTTTTTCTTCATTTATTGAATTAATATATTTTGCTAAAAAAATCAGGTATCTATAATATACACTACCATTCAAAAGTTTGGGGTCGGTAAGATACATTTAAAAAAAAAAAGTCTCTTATACTTAACCGTTTAAAGGGTAACTAAACCCCTAGTCAGAGCCTGACTCCACCCACTGGCAATATTTGAAAAATGCTGGAAAAGTGGGCAGAGCCCACGCAATTCCAACTCCTGATTCGCTACAGTGGTTTTGACGAAACAAGATGGTTTTTATACTGCCATGGACATGGTAGCTCGTACCAAAGGGCGTGGTAAGCTGAAACCTGCTTACGTCAGCTCTCACCGCTAACGTCACGAACTACCGCAAACATCCAATAGGAAAATTCAACTGCAGTAGCCACCGTTCAACCTGAAGAGGGCAGCACTCAGACGTTTTTACACCATATATTGTAGAATTAAAACACTTTATACCCAAACGTCAAAAAAGTTACTCGAATCAATGACCAGCACTAATAAAGACCCAGTCTTACAGATCATTAATTAAAAAAAGTTGGTTTAGTGTTTAGTTACCCTTTAACCAAAAATACAGTAAAAAGTAAACAGTAACAATGTAAAATATTATTACAATTTAAAATAACTTTTCTACTTTAATATATTTTAATATATTTTTTGAAAATGGAATGCATTCCTGTGATGCAAAGCTGAATTTTCAGCATCATTACTCCAGTCTTCCCTGTCACATGATCCTTCAGGAATCATTCTAATGATGATTTGCTGCTCAAGGAACATTTCTTATTTCCAGTGTTCTTTTATGAATAGAAAGTCTAAAAGAACAACATTTGAATAAGAAATCTTTTGTAACATCTTTACTGGCACTTCTGATCAGTGATTCATATTTTTTTTATATTTCTTTGCTGAATAAAAGTACTGCTTTCTTTTAAGGAAAAAGTTTGAATGGTAGTGCATGTTTGCTTTTGTTTTTTTTTAATAGGCAAAGCCGTGGAAAACTCAGTGTGACTGGCATCAGGATGCGGCAGGCGGCTGACAAGTGGCGTGAGCTTCAAAGCCTCGTCTCTCGGCCCCTGCTCTCACACTATTGTCATGATACTTTACACTGATCATCCGGGTCGCCACCCAACTAGGTCACGTAGCCGAGCCCGGCCATGTCTCAGTGACAACAACAGACAGCAGTTTGGCCACAGAGCTTTGCAGTGCTTCAGGAGTACAGACCCTGTTCAATACTACACCACACAACATGCAGACTGTCAACGCTAATCTATTCTGACTCTCTCATTCGGATTTAGCCCAGAAAGTGTTTCCTAAAAAATATCTGTGACTCATCAGTGATAACAGACAGAACAAGTTCCAGTGGGATGAAGAACACTGAGCGCTTGTGTTGAAATCACAGGGTAGAAGAAATGAGACAAAGACAGTGCTGTTTCAGTACTAGAGAGCTAATCGTATAAAAAGACAGAGTCAAATTTACATAATTTCTCATGTAAAATAGCGAATTCTTGCAAAAAGACTTCAACTGAATTATGCAGTAATTTCACAGAGAAACATAAATATTCACATTTCAACTCATAATAAGGTTTTGTTTGGTTAGTTAACATGAACTAACAATGAACAACACTTATACAGCATTTATTAATCTTTGATAATGTTAATCTCAGTTGTATCTGTAAATATTAGTTAATGCTCTGTGAACTAACATGAACAAAGCTTAACAAATGCTGTAAAAACACATTTATCATTGTTAGGTCATGTTAGTTAATGCATTAACCAGAGTTTCCGCTAGAAAAAAATGGTGCCGGTCAGAGTGACCGGCAGAGGTTTCGTTTAACGGACATTGATGATATGCAGGTCAAATATCGCCTCTTAATTAGTCAAGTTGAGGAAAACTGGAGGCAGGCTATGTAACTTAAAAAATGACATAATCAGGCCGTATAGAATGCAACATGTTATTATTAGCCTAACTTTCAAATAGACGGAAAAAAACATGAACGTCCGATTGGCGTCAATCAACACCAATTGTTTTTTTACTATGGTTTCACACACATTCACTTTTTGAAACATTGAGGCACGGATGTACCTAATACAAATAAATAAAACTAGCAGATCATTCATTTAGTTCACTATTAAATAAGAGATCTAGCGCTAAAATCAGTTGTTTTTGAAATCAAGCTGAGCGCTCGTGTCCGCTGCTATCAGTTGCATGGACGACGTGCTGCGCGTATTGCGTGTTTCAATCTATCGCCGTTGCGGACAGGCGAACAGAGCAGCACAGGCGAAGCACTGCTACTTGGGCGCAGAGAAATCACGCAACACCTGAAATAAAGCTTGACACAAAGAACCGGCGAAAGTAATGATTATGCATGAAACATTTGAATTGTTGATAAATTGATCAAGTTGACGATGCAGACTCGCCATCTTCGCAGTAGTGAACGCGCCTATATTGATAAATGCACACTTCGTATGAAGTGTGCACGCGCCGGCGCCTCCGTGTCCTGATTATATTGTCCACTATATTTGCTTCTTATTTATTAATCCAGGCAAATTTGTTGATGAAACATTGATTAAAATGAAGATACAATTTATACAAAACGAAATAAACTTTAAAGAAAGGCTTTCTACAAAACAAAACTTAATAAGTGGTCAAAATCTGACCCATTCCAAATGTTTTCCGATATATTGGTCATCTTATGATCCTATCTTACTCATCTCATGCGGTTCTCTTTTCATATAATCAACATAGATGAAATAAAAAAATAATAACATTATATTATTTATAAATATGAAACGTATGTTTAAGTTTTTTAACTTATAATAAGCGTCACACCGCTCCGCTTTGCTCACATGCTCTGGTGTGTAGCCTAATGCATGTGTGCGTGCATGTGGTGGAGGGGTGCGATTTTCGAATAGTAATCAACCCAGCGATCTTCGAATATTATTTTTGCTTGAAAATTTCGTTTTGTATAAATTGTATCTTAATTTTAATCAATGTTTCATCAACAAATTTGCCTGGATTAATAAATAAGAAGCAAATACAGTGGACAATATAATCAGGACGGAGGCGCCGGCGCGTGCACACTTCTCTCTATAGGCGCGTTTCACTACTGCGAAGATGGCGAGTCTGCATCGTCAACTTTATCAATTTATCAACTTTATCAACAATTCAAATGTTTAATGCATAATCATTACTTTCGCCGGTTATTAGTGTCAAGCTTTATTTCAGGTGTTGCGTAATATCTCTGCACCCAAGTAGCAGTGCTTCGCCTGTGCTTCCAAAATGCATTTGCCCACCTATCTAAATGTAGGGGAGACCGTGAATAACCCCAATTTTTTTTAAAAACGGTGGAGTGTTCCTTTAAGGCTAGCCTGCCTGGGCCTGGCCATATCTGAAACTTCTCACTCAATCGTTTGTTGTTTAGTTCTATATTACAGCCGTTCTAGGCGTGCGCTTTATTTGAAATGCAGCATGCGATGTTGTTTAATAACTTTCAAACGGTAGAGCCGGTTCCTTTATAACATAGCCAAAGGTCGGTGTATTTTTGCTTTGTACATTTTAGGCTTATTCTCAAATTCATATTGTGTTAGGGGGGCGAGATTATTACGCAATTTTAATCGGACAATTTGACCGGAGAGATTTAATTTTGTCGGACATTTCATTTTTTTCCCGGCCAATGTCCGGTGATTACCGGACAACGGAAACCCTGGCATTAACTAATGTTAATCAATGAGACGTTATTGTAAAGTGTTACCCACAGAAAGAAATATTTAAATGGAATTATTTCTTTTTTTTTGCTGTAAGATCTAATATGAAAATAAATAAATAAGAATTTGTTGACAGGGTAATTGCAGTCTCAGCAAGTAAAATAGATATCTTTCAGCATATTTCATATTAAACTCACCCATAAACATCCCAGAAAAAAATAATAAAAAATTGTTGGTCACTTTACATATCAGTCAAATGGCTCCTTCTTGTCTAAGTGGGTGTAATATGGACCAGACTTTATATACAATAAAGGACACAAGCTATGCAGGACTAAAGTTTGAGTCCACATGTCCGACTCACCTCTCTTGGGGAACGGCAAACCAGTACTCATGCTTGCGGTCGCGCTGTGCGTACTGCTGCATTGAGGCGCTGGCGTTGGACACAAACGTCTTCTTCATGGCCTTGCCCACTCGCAGACACAGAAACTTGTGAGACTTCTGCCTCTCCTTGGACAACATGGGGCCTGAAACACAGAAACAAAAGCCCATCTTAAAAGCACAGCTAAAACATCTACTATAATATAAAGAAATAACTGCAACTGAGATGTTGCTTGCAAAAACGACTGATACAAGACTTAGTTTGAATGGCAGTCTATAAAAATTCACAGTAATACATCAATCATCAAGGACATGAAGCACAGTATTCAATAGTCACTGAAATAAAAACACTGCCTCAAATGAACTAAACCCTGCTGGGAGATCAGATCCAATGCTGAATCAAATCTTTTGTTAATAACTGATTAGAAGGTCAACACAGCGGGAGATGTAGAAAGGAACACCTTACACCAGTGCTGTAAGAGCCAAAGCCATTTACACAGCCAATGCAACATTAATCTACTTACACTGCAGCACACAGTGGGAGGGCATTCATTTTCAATGGGCTCATTTGGTGTGTAATTCAGATGACTTTTTAAAGTCGGACCTGAGCAATAACCCCTTGTGATTTGTCAGAATGGTTCGATGACTCACAAAGGGACATTCGCTGGGACAGGAGTCAAAGTTTAATCCCATGCCATTAGGCTGATTAGTATTGCTGTTGAAAAAGCGACGAAAAAAGCGTAATATTGTTTAAAAAGTATATTTTAGTCTTTTTAGTAAGTTAAAGAGGTCATAATAATTTTGAAACCCGTCCCGTTTAAAGATCCAGTAATGTCAGTTACTTTTCAAACGTTCTATGATCAGATAAAACAAAATAAAAAAAAGCTTTTTTGGCAGCAAACACTTAATATGGGTTTGGTTCACACAGGGATAAAAAAGTAGCCTGGCTCCGCCCTCCTACGCACTTCCGCTCAATTTTCATTTTCCTTCAGTACTACGTCTGGGCTTGTGGTGTATTCTTTGGTTTTCTCCGGTCAATTTTTTACCGGTCCAATCAGCGAACAGAGGGAGTGGCTGAGAACGATGACGTTGATGTCGTGCGCTAGTTTGAGTCGTCATACGTCACGACCAAACATTAGTGATTGGTTACGGCAGATCCAATAGTTTTAAACTTCAACAGAGGACCCGCCTACAAGGAAGTTAACGCTTGTCAATGGAGCGAGGCCAGACTCTCTGTACAAATGAAATGTACGAGAGTCTGGTGGGTCAGGTGGGACCAGGCTAATAAAAAAGTACCCCATGTGTAAAATGAAATACTCTGCTGTATCTTTAATGGTGTATACTGCTTCATCCGAACTACCTCATCGTGACTGGACTTTCTTAACAACGAATATGCATTGTTGACATGTAGGTAGTCACATGTTCATCTTATTATTGTTAGTCACATGTTCATCTGATGTCAGTGAGCTGCAGATGTTCAGAAACAAGCCATATGTTTTCAACTTTTTCTATCCCACAAGATATAGGAAAGTGCTTGATTTGATTTCTCATGATATCACACCTTTAACACTCCTGAGCTCATTCTAAAAGCCGGATCAGCCGTTAGAGTAGAATAACTATCAGTAGATGAGTCATACGCTGGGATGGAAAGCATCTTGGGGTATACAAAGAGCTCAGCACGTCTAGAGCTGAAAAGCATGGAGGAATAATGATAAAAATATACAAGTGGGAGTCTAAAAATGAACATTTCATTATCTGCTTTCCATTATAAGACTAAGGAGCCTAGTGGACATACTGCTCAGCCCTGAATAATAGCGCTCTGGCATCTCATGTGTATATCATCCCATTGTATTATTTGCACCTGTACCACTCTACCCTCTAAATACCACTGAATATGAATATGATAAGCATTCAGAACCTTAGGGTTATAATAAGTTCAGTACAACACAATGCAAATTGTTTTGTTTTCCTATTAAAAACAAACATCTAAACCTCTTAAAAGAAGATATAGTTTACATTAAACAAAATTTCTTGTATTTTTAGTTTAGAGGGGAAAGCTTTCCCTCATTTTCTCTTTGAATTAAGTTTATTTTTCTTACTGCATTGTTGATTTATAATTATTTTAATTTTAAACATAAAACTTATCGAAAACAAGTCGTTACATTTTGTTATTTTGCTTTTGCTGTGAACGCATCTTGTTCTAAGCTTTCATTTATCATTTATTGTACACTACTACCTTTCAAAAGTCAGTAAGATTTTTTAGAAAGAAATTAATTTTTAAAAAATGCGGTACTTTTGAACTTTCTATTAATTAAAGAAAAGTGAAATAAGTATCACAGTTTCCACAAAAATATTAAGCAGTACAACTGTTTTCAAAATTGATAATAATAATAAGAAATGGTACCTTGAGCATCAAATCAGCATAATAAAAATGATTTCTGAAGGATCATGTGACACTGAAGACTAAATAAAATCCAGCTTTGGATTACAGGAATAAATTACATTTTAAAATATATTCAAAAAGAAAACGATTATTTTAAATTGTAATAATATTTCAAAATATTACAGATTTTCAGTATTTTTGATCAAATAAATGCAGCTTTGGTGAGCCTAAGAGACGAATGCATTAAATTAAAAAATTATATTAAAAAAAGTATAAAAGTATATAAATATTTTAAAAAATAATACCGACCTGTTACGTCCGTAAGAATGTTTGTGTGTGGGAGGGGATTGTTTTTCCACTATCTGTTTCTCTCACTTTCACTTTCTTAGGTTGTTGCTGATTGGCTATCGTGCTTGTCAGTTAAGACAATGAGTGGCCGCGCCTTGGAAGGCGGGATCGGCATTAGCGTGATGAGTGACACCTGGTGAAGTGGATACTTAAAGACCATGCTGCTGCAGGCTGGAAGAGAAACCTTGTCTTGTCTTGTGAGAACTTTGCTTTGTCTTGTTGTGAGAGAACCCTGTTTTGAGAGAACCTTGTACGTTGTTCACCTGTATGCTCATTGATCTTTGTTTTGGCTGCGTCCAAAACCTTCTCCTTTGTGAACGTGGCGGTCTACAGAGAAGAAGGGGCTAAGTAAGTTTGTCACGTGACATACATGGTGCACACGTAGCGAAATCTGTCTGTATTACAAACACTAGTTAGGGAATTGTGCCACCCGCTGTATTTATGTTTTTTAGTTAGTGTAGCTTTAGTTATGACGTCTTGGACGTTGAAGACTTTTCTTTTTGGGTTTTCTTTGTATCATAGTATTAGTTGTTTAATGGGTTAGATAACCTTTATGTTTATGTTACTTTCATTATTTTGGCACAATTCATTTACCCCTTTTTCCTTTGTGGTTGGTTCTGTTATATCTTTATTAATTATCATACTTATTAAAAACTTATTCACTTTATTCAGTGGTCTCTCGTGTTTTCTCACCTCATTCAGTGTTATAGTGTGACGTGTCTGATATGGTTATGTGTTCCCCTCCTAAAAAGCCCTAGACGGGTATGAGTCATAGGAGGGTCGTAACACGACCACAAACTTTTGATTGGTTGTGTATTTTGTTTAGATATATTTGCTGAAAAGCAAGACATGCTTTTTGCAGAGTATTAATACAAAATCAACACCTCAGGCAATAAATAAACAAAAACCTAGTTCTGCCAACACATTCAATAATGGACATCAACAACTTGTGATTAATCACATTATTTGTAGATAATACATTAATATTTCCAGCTATCTTTTCAAGGAAAGAACTGCCTGTCGTTTCTGATGCTAGTGTGCATGTGCAGTTGTCGGTTTTGATGGGCTTTAGCTTATCTCGCCGTCAGACAGAGGGCTGCTGGCTCAGTCGTGTCAAGAGATCAAAGCAGCGTGTAAAAGCAGCGGTAAATTGTCCCCGCGCTCCCTCAGGTGATAACAGGTGAGCCACTTTTCATTTCCCAGCACTCTCTCGTCTTGCCATCAACAAAGCCACACAACACAAGGTTATCAGCACTTCCCAGCATGCCCCATCCCAGACACCAAGACAGAAGCTTACTTTGATAGTAAAATGTAAGAACGCTGTACTATAATGTCAATGCAGGTTACAATGACACTAAATGTGCATGCTGGCTCAAGAGAAATAACTTTATATTGTTTAGAAAATTTTAGGCAATTTTATATGTATAAAATATATTAGAATTATATATATATATATATATATATATATATAAATAATTGTATTAAAATAAAGAAAATGAAAATTTAGAAAAAATATACAATTTAAATATATTGTATATTTTAATTAATTTCATTTATTTAAAAATAAAATAAAACTAAAAATGCATTAAACAAAATTGATATATTTATATTTATATATTTAAGATAAAAAATTACTTTATATTTAATGTATTTAATATTACACACTCTCTCTCATATATATATATATATATATATATATATATATATACACACATTTTATTAATATATATTTTTTATAACATATTATTAAATTAATGATTAATTAAGTAAAAAAAAAAAAAACCAACAACATAAAAACAAATTCTATCACAGATTTCATCACAGATTGTTGGCAGAAAGACAGAGATTGGAGGACATGTTCTCATACCCTCAGCAGAGCTCAGTCTCTGGCTGCCCATAGGTTGCTGCACATTCTCTTTCTGGGCCTGCTGGACGTTCTCTCGCTGTTCCTTGGCTTGTTGCATAGTGTGGCTCTTCCACATCTTCCTTAGCTCCTCAACGTCCGTCTCTGAATCTCGAGTACCATCTCTGGTCAGTTTAGCCCCATCGGGGCTGCTTTCCTGTCCCGTGGCCTCGTCTGCTCCAGGGGCCGAGCTCTGAGAACCTGAGGAGGTCTGGCAGTGGGGTGGTTGCTGGTGGTCCTTGCTGGTGGGTGTGCTTGGCTGTTTGGAGCTCATTGAGGTGTTGGGCTGGGCAGTGTTGCTGGCTGGTTCTCCCTCCTCTGTATGACTGCGGTCAGCTGTTGGAGGTTCCCGGAGGATGGTCTGCACGGATTGAGACGAGGCTCTCGATGACTTGTCCTCCTGCTGGAGCTCCTCTGTGGACTGCCGCTCCTCTCGGATGGGTGAGAGCTCTGACTCGGTGAAGACGTCCTCTGAGAAGGAGCCCTCGGTGCTGCGTGGGGCAGTGCTGGCGCTGTCGTAACCCTCCCGCAGACGCTGATCCGTTTGATGACAACTTCCAGAGAACGTGGCTTCAAGATCCCTGTGGTACAAACAGAAACAATGAGATGCACCTTCTAAAACTAGTATTCTAATATGACAGTAGTAGTAGGAATTGATGTTTTTCTTAATTTTCTTTACATCATTATTATTTAGAATCTTCAAGAATTTGAATTAAAAAAATGATACTATAAAAACTGTTAACTGTGAAAAACTTGATAACATAATACAAAACTCTACTTCTGAACAACACGCGTGGGATTATGATCTTCAGTTGATTTTTGTCCTACAGTATAATATGTGACTAAGGTAACCGTTAGCGGGCTGTGCATGAGAAACTTTTGATTCTCTTATTCACTGTTTCCTACCACTCTGATGCTTCTATCTTAAGTCTAAAATGCACAGACGTCATATGTCATTTTAGATGCGGCTTCTGTACTGCAGTAAAGCAACAGCCTGAAACATCTGAAAGACAAGTGCACAATGACGTGTGTCTGTCTGGATGGTGCTTTAGTAAAAAGCACATGGGAGGTGGATGGTACTACATAATCAAAATCATTTGGAGCAATTAATACACGTGCAAGCCAGCATAAAAGTGCACAAATGAAAAGTAGGTCTCTCTGTCTGTACATCTGCACGATCAAAGACGCCTGGGCTTCAGATCCACTACTGAAACCCTGCAGTGAACCTGACTGATGAACCAACGAACACCGCTCTGAGCTGAATAAAACACATCATTCATAAACCAACAGAGGATATAAATATCTGGGGGTGGAAACGCTGCTAAAATCATTAACTTCTTATTACAAATCAAAATGGGTGAGTAATTCAGATGTAGGCGGCTGAATTCACGCTTCATTAACCTTAGAGTAAAAATCCATTTCCTGTATAATAAAGCTGAACGCTGGATGTCTAAAATAATCGTACAGCAGCGTGGTTCCTCATGCTCACTGCAGACAAAATACTGATTTGTCACATGAGAGATCTTTAATCTAGATAAGACATCTGAAGATGAATCCAATTAATAACGAGTAATGCCGCTGCAATTTTCTCTTTTCATAATCTTCCTTAATCAAAACCATTAGTCTGGTGGCTCAAGTCATTTTTATAATGTTATTTTTTTGGCCTTTGTGCTACTTATAGAAGAGCAAGGACAAGAACTTAGTTTGCATTCATAAAAAGTCACAATAAGCTTGTGGAGCGAACTTGTTTGTCATCTTGATTGATGATGCAGAGGAAACTCTGACCAATAAGAGGACAGTTGTACTCGCATGTGACTTAAATAAACACAATTTGGTACGCTTTGAAATGTTACCTTGTGAATGCAAACCGAACCAAGAAGAAAATGCAACATTGTAACAAATTAAGTCCTTGTTTCGAGACAAAACATTTACAGGTCTGAAAACTACCGTAGGCAAGTAATGGACCTTATTCAGAGCAGCGCCATGACAGATATGAAAGCGAGGCTGTGAGATATTAACCATGTTTTTAATGGCACCTGCTATAAAAAGCTCCTAGATCACTAAGTAATCATTTTCCACAACTCTTGTTCTCTGGTCAACTGACATTTCTTGAAAAAGCTAGTTTTGCAGTGCAATCCAAAAACACATTAAATAACAGTACAACCCACTGAAGAGATACATGTCTATCCCTCACAGCCTCGCTTTCATTCCCAAAGATGGAAAAGATGTGAATAAGGTCTATTGACAAACAAATAACTGGCTTAAAGGGGTCAATTTTCCTTGATCTTTTGACAGTTGAGAGTTCGTTATACTATAAAAATACCATGTAAGTTTCAAAACTTCCTTGTTATTCCAAAAACTGCTTTTATTGAAACCAAGGCCAAAAAACGACAGGATCTCAAAAGTGGAGACTTGTGACGTCACAGGGCAGCGAAAAGACCGTCTTTGCAGAAGAATATCAACGCCTACGTCTCACCGCGTCTTTAGCGCCGCCCACTAGCACTGTGTAATTCCACAGGACTGTCCTTAGAGTTGACATATGATAGACATAATTGATATATTAATGTTTAATTATAATCCGTTTTGATTAAGTATTGATATACAATTGAGCTAATTTTAACCTGTCTGTAAAATATAGTCTACATATGCAATTAATTATAATCCTTTGTGGTTAATTGTCTAGGTACATATATGAATGCAGATGCAGGGAACATATTATCCCTTTTTGGGAGATTTAATAATGTAAAGTTTATCTGGTTCAAACCCGTATGAATAATTATTCATTATTAATTATTGAATACATATTCCCCATATTGACCAGAAAGACTCTACAACCCCTTTAATCTGCTGAGGTGTGTGCCGTGCTGTGACAGTTTGAAGTGAGAGGTCTTACGGGGGTACGGAGTCACGGATCTTGCTGTCGGTGATCTCTCTGTAGACGGCTGCAGACTGAACCTCGTCAAGTGGACACATGATCCCGTACTCCTCACAGCCTCTCTCCAGAACCAGAGGGTCCGTCCGGTGAGGGTCAAACATGATGTTGTTGGGCGTCACCAGCAACACCCCACTAACAACTCCCTGTGACAGAGGCAGTTACACATTTTTTTTCCCATTAAACATTATAACTATAACATATAATTATAAATAATAAAATGTAAATATATTTGATAAAATATTTGTTTTTGTTTTTTTGTAAAACATAAATGTTTTTGAAAGAGGTTTCTTATGCTCACCAAGGCTGCATTTATCTGAGCAAAAAGAGTAAAAACAGCAATATTTTTAAATATTATTATGATTTCAAATAATATTTTTATTTTAATATATTTGAAAATGTAATTTATTGTCAAATAATCCATCAGAAATCATTCTAATATGCTGATTTGGTGCTAAAGAAACATTTCTTATTATCAATGCTGAAAACAGTTGTGGTGCATAATACATTTATGGAACCCACAATATATTTTTTGGGGGATAAAAAGAAAGTTCAAATGAATTTATTTGAAATAAAAATCTCTTGTAACATTATAAATGTTGTTACGGTCACATCAATTTAATGTGTGCTTGTTTAAATATATATATATATATATATATATATATATTTATAAATAATATATACATATACACACACATTTTATTAAATACACAATAGTATTATATAAATTATATAACAATTACAAATACTGTTTCTTCATCACTAACGGTTTTGATAAGTCAGAGTAAGTGAGTTCATTCAGTAACGGATCCATCAGACTGATTTAACAGATCTGGGCTGTGTTTCCCAAATGCATTGTAAGCCTGAGTAGATTGTAGAGTCCTTTGGTGCAGCTGGTTTACGATCAATGTAGGCTCACGATGCTTTTGGGAAATGCGGGCCTGAATTGCTCTTTTTAAATGATTCATTAAAAGAATTGGATCATAAGAGTCGCTTGTTTGTGAACCAGACCACACTGATCACACTGCAGCACAACTGTTTAGTGAATTCAGTCTATAAGTGCTGGGGTGAATGTGAGGGCAGGACATTTTTGACAGTGTGAGAGAAAATCATCTCGGCACTAACATCATTACACTCGTCAGGCATAAAGATTTGCTAAGGAGAACAGATCAGTGCTGGAAACAGTAGCTCAACTCCTACTCTATAAGCAAAACTTGGAGCTCCTTGCAGTGTTTTGTTTCCCAGAGGACAGAAGAAAAGCAGTGGTCTTATTAATGAATAACCTGAGGACTCCTCAAAAAGTTAACTTTGTGCAACTTTGGAGACATTGCCAATTAGAAAAGTCGAACACTGACTCACCTTGCCATCCGTGATGTACTTGCAGTTGATTTTGAGGAACTTCTCTGTCAGCGCCTCTTCTTCCTCCGAGGTGGAGGAAACCACACGGGAGGACCGCAGTGCAGAGAAGGCTGGAGGGGCAGGAGCATCAGAGCGAGGTGGACAATTGGAGTCCTGAGAGACAGAGACGAGACAGATTACAGCGAGAAATAAAAAAAACAGCAGCCACTCACTCGCATAACAAAAAAATGACCGGAAATAGTTACAAATGTCTGTCATGACTCATAAAACTATAGATGGTGCAGGCTGACCGGTTCTTAACTCAGTCTGCTTGCAATCACATCAGGCTCTATAGGGCACAGCTGATTGGTTCCTGCTGTATCAGTAGCCAATGAGCTCGCTGCTCAACCTTCAAATACTGGTCTGCATTTTCTGTAAGAGTTGCAGTGTGCTTTCAGAAACCTCCCACTTCCCCAGCTCCACCTGTAAAGATCTGCTATGGGTAATTCATGCATGCTATATTGTGCAGCATGTCTTATTTGCTCACAGCAGCATGTCGTGTATGTATTGGCAATAGCAAGTCCGTACGAAGCAGGAATAACAGCAGCAGCAGTGTAGCAGATCTATCCCGCGAAGACCAAACATATCAACATTGTCATATCCATTACCATGCCAAAAACTCTGAGAGATGTATGTACTGTATATATATATATATATGCCAAAATATCAATCACAACAGCTATTGTTACTGCAGTCAAATTAAAATAACATCGCCAAAAACCAAATCTTTTGAAAATAGTGCTGGTTTATACCACACTTTTATTGTGTAAAAATATCTACAGTAAATATGGTAATTTGGTGGAAACTATGACTGTAGGAAAGAAAAATCGCAAATGAAATCTCTTTAGAATTTCAGTATGTCAGTAGATATAACCCTATGTCTGTACTCTTACTTTGTCAACAACCTTTTTTATATTTTTTATTCATCAAAGAATCATGAAAAAAAGTATCACTGTTTCCACAAAAATATTAAGCAGCACAACTATTTTCAATATTGATAATAATAAGAAATGTTTCTTGAGCATCAAATCAGCATATTAGAATTTCTGAAGGATCATGTGACACTAAAGACGTGTGATGATACTGAAAACTCATCTTTGCATCACAGGAATACATTACGATATATATAGAAAATGGTTGTTTTAAATTGTAATAATATTTTACAATCGAACTGTTACTTCTATATTTTTGATCAAATAAATGCAGTCTGGGTGAGCGTTTAAGAGACTTCAAAAACATCTTACCGAGACCAAACTTTTGAACGCTAGTGTATGAGAGAATGAATTAAGAACTGCAATGCATTAAATCATACTGATCTCAAACTGGTCTCATTCTGGGCTCTTAGTGGTCTCATCCTGGATTCAACCTAAAACCGGATGCGTGTGTGTGTGTGTGTGTGAATAGGCATGAATAGTCAGAGCCGACAGCGGGAGCAGAGAGTGGGCGCTGGGTCTCCTGCAAACACAACCTGCTGCCCACAGCTGTCTGCTTTCCTCGGACACACACACACACACATCTCTGAGCCGACTGGAGCAACGTTAGGGTAGAGACCACACTGATTCTTCATCTCTCCTGCTCTCACTCTCTATAAGGCAGTGAATGTGTTTACAATAGATTCTGTCACAGCACATTATAAATCTTCTGTGAAAATCTCACTAAAATCACAGACACAATTAGACGCTCACCATTGATGTGCATCTCAATTATAGCAATTAAAGGCAGAGGATACTTGAGTAGAATACCGATATTTTAACACTATAATAAGCAACATTTTCAAAGACATCCTTTATCCACGCTTTAACAAGTATAAAAGGGATAGTTCACCCAAAAATTGTGATTCTGTCAGCAATGAAAGTCAATGGGGCACGGTGGTATTTTTGGACCCCATTGATTTTCATTGTGTGGAGAAAAAGACTTCACAGAAACATTCTTCAAAATATCTTATTTCGTGTTCAGCAGAAGAAAGAAAGTCTTAACAAATTTGGAATGGCATGATGGTGAGTAAATGAGTAGTATATATATACACACACCATTCAAAAGTTCGGGGTCAGTAAGAGTTTTTTAAAGAAATACTTTTATTCAGCAAGGTTGCATTAAATTGATCAAAACTGACAGTGAAGACATCAACTATAAATGGTAAAATGGTACATGGACTGCATTTTATATAGCGCTTTCACAGACCCAATGGCCACCAAAGCGCTTTACATTTTGCCTCACATTCACCCATTCACTCACTCATTCATTCATACACCGACGGCGGTGTCTGCCATACAAGGCGCCATCCAGCTCGTCGGGAGCAGCTGGGGTTAGCTGTCTTGCTCATGGACACCTCGACACTTGATCAGGTGGAACTGAGGATTGAACCACCAACCTTCCGGTTTGTAGACAACCTACATGAACCACTGAGCCACTGCTGCCCCAATTTAATGGTATAGTACGAATTATACGAATAAGAATTTAATGGTATAGTAATTTGATGTTTATTTATCAAACATCATTTGAAAATTCTATGCATCAAAGAATCCTAAAAAACAACACAACTGTTTTTTACATAGATTTTTTTTTTTTGCAGTGTTTTGCCTTTATTATGAGAGGACAGTTACTTGACAGGAAGCAAAGTTGGAGAGAGAGAGAGAGAGAGAGAGAGAGAGAGAGAGAGAGAGAGAGAGAGAGAGAGAGAGAGAGAGAGAGAGAGAGAGAGAGAGAGAGAGAGAGAGAGGGGGATGGGATCAAACTCGGGACGCCCGAAGCGCAACTGCGCTATATGTCTGCGTGCTGCCCACAGGGCTTAAATGGCACCGTAGCACCTGTCCTTTATTACATTGATACATGATTTCTGAAGGCTCATGTGATTGAAGAAGACTGGAGTAATGATGCTGAAAATTAATTTTAAATTGTAATATTTCACAATACTGCTGTTTTATTGTACCGACCCCAAACTTTTGAATGGAAATGGGCTTAAATTCATCCTTGTCTGCTGCCGTCACTGCTCATAATCAAGCACAATGTCTGCGTCAGAACGCTATGAATAATAAAGACAACATTTTATTCACACATTCAACACATTTGCAATTATTATTTATAATCCAAACCTCTCTTTCTAACACAATCTTCCCTGACAAGCACAGCGGCCGCTGTTCCCGCCCTCTGGCCTCAACATCGCACATCCCGCGTGCCGTGACAGCCCGGCCCACCCATCAGATCCCACAATAAGCAACCAGAGAGTCAAAACATGCCTTCATGAAACCCTGTTCAGTTAACACTCTCCGCCTTTTCCAAACAGTCTCTCCTCTTCTGGCAGCCCAGGAAGAAGGCGTTTGTCTCGCTCAGCGCCGGAAGGAAGGATCCACCGGTGTAACGTGCACCGAAACACAAATAGCTTTGTGTATATTTCCAGAGCTCTGACGCCAGCTTGCTGTTTATAGATCGGTTCATTATCAAAGCCATTATTAGGCCTAACCACCGGAATACAAAGGGGCATCTAGTGTTCCCGGGAAGATGTTGATTAGGAACTTAGTAAAAGTTTAAAAGAACAAACAACGCCTTCCTGCATGCTGTGTAGAGCTTTACTCAGGATTTAGGGAAGGATAAAAAGATCAGTGTATCTGTGCTAGGGATCTGCAAATCTACATATTTTCAAAATTGACTAGTCCGTCCTAAAAGTTGACGAAATTCACTTTTAGCAAAACATTGTCAAGGTGCTTTGGAAGAATATGCATAGTGCAACGTCATTTTCACTTAATAAAAAAAAAAAAAGTATGTCCCCCTTTAAGAAATGACAAGTTTACAAAAAAAAATGAATAAAAATAATAAAATATAAATAAAAAGATTTTTTTTAGAATTTTTTTTTTTTTTTTTATATAAAAAAAAAAAAAAAAAGAAAAAAGATAAATACAAATAAAATGATATACAAATGAAAAAAAAAATGACAAGACTCTTTTACACAAGTCATTTTTACAAACAAAAAATATTCTATATAAATAAAAAAAAGTGGAGAAAGTGGCTCACACAAAATTCAGTGTGAAATCAGACTAAACCAAACTGACTTTAAAATGATTCGGAGATTGAGATCAATTGCAGGGCAACCAAAAATGTTTCTCACGTAGTCCCTTATTAAAATAGAAGACATTTATTGCACTTATTTGTCCCAGTATCGGCCAATAATGTCATTCAGTCTCAACTGATTGACTCAGGTAGTCAATTCATAAACAACATTACTGCACCAGATCTCAGCAAACAATGCAACTCAATTACTCTGGCACAAGGACTGACGACATACAAGCCAACACAGACGGGTTCACGCGCACAGTGACTTTCCGCAAAGATAAAATCTAGTCTATGGGTTAAGGAACATGCATTCAGTGCTTCTTAAAGAACATCTAATGACTTTTACCAAAGCACATCAAAGACACCGTGGGAGAGAGACCAACAGTGTCCTCTGGCTGGCTGAGGTTACTATCCGACATGGAGTAGGAAAAAAGTCTATGCCTTCATGTCCTCTAGGCCATCTGGAGCTTACCTACGCTGGGCTGGTTTCACACGGCCTCAGTGAATCCAGCCTGAGGGAGACCAGTGGCTTGATTTAGAACCTAAGCCTGGAAAAAGGGCACTAACCCTGTTTGCAGGGCTCCGCATGTGGGTGGTTGACATCCATGTGATCATTAGATCACCGCTGGACTGATCTCAACTTCACACACACCCTTGTTAAACTTTACACGCAACATTTCACCAGCTCATGTTAATGACTCATGCGCTATTAGTCTGAAGCAGTAGATGAGCACTCAAAATCTCCACAGCTCTGTTGTCATTTTATTAAGGCGAACACTGAGAATGCACCACACCACAGAAGGATGCTGTCAGCTGACTCTAATATTAACTGAGATCAACAACAGCACTTTGAATTAATTGTCATCTGTGGATTTGTTTATATGCAGAGGTTTGACATGAAATATTAGGACAACAACCTGCAGCTCCATCTGGTGACCAGAAACAGGTTCTGCAGGGTAAAAGTCAAAAGCACCTGACAGATATCCCTTAAAAAGGTATCTCCATTTCACTTGGAGCCGTTCACATTCTTAGATTCAGAAACTATTAGTTTCTATGGCAACGCTCAA